CTCATTTTATTAGGAGTCCATTTACCCATTTCATATATTTAAAATTAGTTGGACCTAATCATCTTTTATTTTCGAAGATTATATAACTCATTAAATGAAATTGTACATCAAGCTGAATTGGGTCTAACCCAGAGTTGGGGGTTGTTATTTACAATAAATAGATTATTAAGGTTTGGAAAATTGAGCCTCTTTGTTGTTCCTTCTATTCCAGTGGTTCCCAAACTTTTCTCTTTTGCGCCCCCTTTCTGAAATCAAGGAGTGGTCGCGCCCCCCTTCCTACCCCCATTATACAAAAACATTATTTTTTTTACTTACTGTAACTCCTCTGAACTGGACTTTGGAAGAGGAATAATAGACATGACAGTGGGCAGCGAGCGTGCGCTGTAGCAATTACTGTAGTCCTTTTATACATCGAGTTACACCGAGCGTGTCGCTTTAGAGCTCCTCGGAGTCACTCCAAAACACACAATTCAGAATAATTCAGATATTAGAGAGTTCTCGTGCTGTCCAAATTTCAAATACCGTAACGTTATTTGACAAGTATGACAGTTCTTACGGTATAAGCGTTAGCGGAGCCGCCCGCTACCTAACGGGAGTTAGCGGATGCCTTACCGTAACGCTATGCTATGTCAAAATTAGTTTACGCTCCATTTACGTCTGTAAGAACAGCAACTTCTAATAATTCCTCGATAAAAAACACCAAGGAAAAATTATTGAAACTCAGGAATCTTCAGGATAAATAAAAGTTGGCAAACAAGCAAAAAAAAGTTGGGTTAGATCACTCAAGTCAGCTGTCAAAATGTAAACAGAATAAGGAATTAGAGGATTTTTGTGACTTTGTGTCCGAGAACTATAAAATACCATTTAAAATACCGTATTGTTAGCGGTACCGTATCAGCATAGCGTCTGAGGCACGGGAACTTTCTATTATCATTATACTTTAATATTAACATTACCTAAAAAAGCTTATTGCACCCCCGGAAATTTGGTGCATCAGGGGAAAGGGGGATGCAGGTTGTACTTTGAGCGACTCGAGTGCTTTCACGCACTTTTGAAAGTAACGTTCACGCTTTTGACATTAAGCAGCTCCGAGTAACTCAACGGGTAAAAGGAATACAGTAATAGATCGCATGGCAAAGCTGCTTTGGCTTATGTATGCGCTGTTGTAGGATTGTAGACATCTTCTTTTAAATTTTACCTGATTTTTTATTTTAAAGCTTAAAATTTGTATTAATTGTTTAGAAGACTCACGCCCCCCTCAATGTTGCTTCACGCCCCCCCAGGGGGGCGCGCCCCCCAGTTTGGGAACTGCTGTTCTATTCGAAGTGTGAGGGCTTTTCTAGGGCTGACGGGGCAAGGCAATTCGTGTTTATTGCTTCAAACGATTTTCACCATACGAATTCAGAACCTAGTGCTTTTTATAATCACGTGGCGCTTATGGCATTAACATAATTAATTGTTATTTATGATATAAGTGTTAAAAGTACATTTTTGAGGCACGCATGTGAAAGTGCCTTAAAAATACTTTTAACATAAATATCATACAATATTCTTTCTACAAACGGCAATAAAACAGTGTTGCCAATGTGGTAAAGTCGGATTACCCAAGTTTCTAGTTGAAATTACCCGATCTTTACTCGCGTTTGCTGTGGACTGTGGTGTTACCACGTATCTTTATTTTTTTTTAAGGGTATAGGAGAGAAAAGGATAAAGATACACTCGTGCTTCGTGCCATACCAAGCCAATCGATATTAGGTTTGTTCGGAGTTAGCTCAGAATCAGTTCGGAATTGAACAGCGCTTGCGGATTTGTTTATTCCGATATATGAACAGATGCGCAAGCGCAGTTCAATTCAGGACTGATTCTGAACTAGTCCGAACAATCCTAATGCCAAAGTTGCAAAGCCGCATTCCGCATCAAAATTTATTTCAGGTTGCAGGATAGCTGCTTAGAGTAGGTGAAGCACTGTTCTACGGACATAAGGAGTAGGAACACGCCATTCTGCTATGAAACGAAAGTGAAGCCAGGTTTTGGCAGGTGTTTGGCACCAAATGACAGGTAAAGCATTGCATTGGGTACATTCAGGCGGTCCCAGTCACAAAACGTCCCAGCGGCTAAGCTCAGTCACTCAGCAGGAACTTTATTCTCGAAACCAAGGAACAGCGTTCTCATCTGTGTGCCTATTCTCGAAACTGGGGAACACCGTTCCCACGAGAATGATTGCTCTGTCTTTGTCAGTCTTATGGAAATATAAATATGGGCGACTAAGACAGAACCTTCTTCCTCATGAGAACGCTATTCCCTGGTTTCGAGAATAGACACCCAGAACGATTTCTCTGTCATGGTCAGTGTCAGCGCCGTAGCAACCAAGACGCCAGGTGGCGCCATCGCGCCAGGGCCCACACCTTGGGGGGCCAACTAAAAGCAAGATAATCACCGACTTGAACTCAATTATTTCAATTTGATTGCTTCATGTTAAAAATCTCAAAATCTGAAATGCAAATGCCCAAACGGTGTTTTCTTGTCTTGCGATTCGTGCGACTCGTTCGCGGCGGATCAGTGGGCGCCTGCCTTTAGAAGTTAGTTGCCCGTTGACGGCAACGCTGTGCTGGCTGACCGTGATGACGTAGCAAAAAGATTATTTGGTATAAACTTGGTAACTTCAAAGACTCGCGGCTGCTGTGAATTGGTGATAGAGTTTCTTTCCGATGAGTAGTTTAAATAAGAGGCACAAGATTCGCGGGTCTAGAACTTGTAGTAGAGGACTTTCAAGCAATTATGCCAGATATTCTTCCCTCTGCAAAAGATGACGAAATTTTTGAAATGGCAGAAAAGCTTTGAAAAAAATATAACGCCGATATTTCGGATTTAATAATCTCATTAGCACAGCAGTTGTTATTCTTTCGCCATTGCTTCTCAAAGAAATTGAAGGATGTGCTGGAATTCATATTGATAAAAAACACTTCTTCAAGTACAAGCTTCACAGAGAATATGTATGTATGCATTTTATAAATTTTTAACGATATCGATAACCATGGCCTCTGCAGAGCGTTTATTTTAGGTGTTGAAATTAATAAAAACCTACCTCAGAAATTCCATGGGACAAAGAATACTGTCTTCACTTGCACTGAACTTGAATTTAAATGAGTTGATAAAAGTGTTCGCCGCTAGAAAAGCTATAAAAGTTGATTTTTAATATAACTTCGATCACTTCGGATTTTTCGTAATTTTCTTTATACCCACCCGAAAAACCTAAATTATCTAGAAAAATTACTAGGGAAGGAGGCCCTCTAACAAAAGTGGCACCAGGGCCCATCAATGCCTTGCTACGGCGCTGGTCAGTGTTATGCTGTACGACAAAGACAGAAACTTTGTTTCAACGCTGCTCTCTTGTTTCGTGAATAAAGTTCCTGCTGAGTGGCTGAATTAGTTCAGCCACTGCCTGAATGTACCCATTGCATATACCGCCATTTTTTTGGTGCCAAAATACCTGGAAAAAACGGCTTCATTTTACAACTCCATGTTACTACTCCTTTACCTTTACCTGCTCTAAGAATAGCTGACAGATGATTAGGATTGTCGCCGGCCCGGGTCTCGCCTTCTCTTTCCTTGATCTTTCTATTTTCTATCTTTCTTTATAGAAGAGAATATAAAAGAGAAGCAAATATGACCGGAGCACGCTCGACAGAAACAACGACGGGCTACGTCAGTTGTTCAAATTTCACCATCAATATCAATGTACCTAAATAACTAAAAATACAAACTTTTTTTGACGTTCGCTCTCAAAATTTGAAGTTTCATTTTTAACACTAGTACTATAAAGACTTTATGGCACTAGTGCGATAAAGTAACATTTTTAATGCTACGAGGGGGTATTAAAAATTGCATTTTTAATACGTTTGTAGAAAAAATATATTTTCGCAAATTCCCACCCGACTCATCTTCGCTGTTTAAAAGCTGACGGCCACCAGGGCTGCCTGATAGATAGTCCTGATACCAAACGGAGCCTTAGTATATATTAATCCTGACGTCATATTAGTTCTGTTAGTATTTGTTCTTGAAGAAAATAAGGCGTCATACCAGTTCGATGGCAGGTAGGTTGTTGATTGGAGTAGTTAGCTATCTTTATCGCACACGCGGTTTTTTTTACGCCATTTTGAGCTCTGATGTCTCCCCACCCCGACCTCGCGAGCAACTCACTTTCCTTGACCAATGGATGGTCTTGTCAATACAACAAATAACAATTTATGAATGAGATGTTCCATCTATTTGTGGTTTGATCTCATTGGTTAAACCTCGCTCAAAATGGTCGGTGCAAATGGCCATAGGTCTAAAAGTTGTAAAGTCTGTTTTTTTTTTTTAAGATAATTCCCCAAGTCAAAAATTCAGTAACTATGTTGGCAACACAAGCCTTTTCTACATAAAAAATTTGAAAGCAATGACAATTTTACATTGTATTGCCAACATAATGTCATTTTGACTTCTATCTTTGAAAAAAACGCACTGTATAAAGGGGGGATAGTTTTTAAGAAGTTTCACTTCTACCATGTGTACGGCACTGCACATAATTTTTTTCTAGTTCCTATAAATATTTCGGCGTAGCTTCGGAGCCCCGCTGCGCTCCACCGAACTGCCCTACGTGAGCTTCGCTACCAATTTTTATATTATCGCAGTCAATGTAATCTTTGTTATCTTGGCATACTTGAACCAGAATGCCTCTATTACCCATAAATAAAATTGATTTCATCAATCATCCATCCAGTATTTCACTGCACTTCTGCAGTTTCTTTTTTTGTGCTCCGTGGTTAGTGGTATGAGGCAGGCATAACTGTTTCAATAATTATTTGGCATTTGTCCAAAAGGTGAATCTTTTTGTACTGAGCTCAAAGTTTAAATTGAACGAAGCGCAAAAAGACCTTCAGGGCCAAATGGCAAACAACATTATACTTTTAAGAGACTGCGCTGTTTCCTATCAATACTTATTCAATGCTTTGTTCCAGATGACGTTGCACAAAATAAAACCACGAGAAGATCAGGGATCACTGACCAAACCGGTCTTATAAAAAAAAAACAAGATGGAAAATGAGACATGAACATTGTTTCTCCAAACAAAACCTGCAAGAAATTTATTTGTTTTGCTTTATTTTTTCTGTAACTACCTAACTTAGGAATAAGTACAAAGGAGGGTATTTTTTGATTTTCTTTTTACCACAAACAATCTGGGCCATGTTGTTTATTATACATACATACATATTTTAATAATATACTGGTAATTCAGATAACCCAACCCTATTGTTTAGATTCCTTAATTTATTACTGGCTGTTGCTCGCAGCTTTTCACGCGCCTATTTTAGCCTGCGGTACTATCGAATCATGGGTACGGAATCCGGGCCTGTTTGCGCCTGTGGCAGGTTTTTAATTTGCGCCCCCGCCCCATATCCAATGTAAAAAAGTAGGCAAAGTATAACCATTGTGAGACCCCAAATTCAGAAACTTGGCAAGATGATAAATTGGCGAGCGGTGACTTTAGTTTCTGAGTGGAGATACAGTTTAAAGTGGGTCCTATTTGCGGGTGGAGAGAGTAAAACAGAAATATTGTGGCCAATTAAAATAAAGTTAATTTTATTAAAATAAATAAAGCTTGTTATTAAATAAAAGGCGTCGGTCATAAATAATCTTACAATAAAATTGTTAGATTTCTAATAAGCATCAATTAACTATTAAGGAAAATTTATATGATTCCAAGTAAAAAAAATTATTTACAGTTTGACTCGATTCAAACTCTTGCCTTTACAATTTCTGGCTGAACAAAAAAAACTCTACTTATATGCTTTTCGTTTATTATTGGCGTAGCATTATCCATGGAAATTTGACAGGTTGACCCTCGTATAATAATGACATTTGATGACAACATATTTTTCAAATTTCAGGGTTATGAAACAGAAAGCCAAGTTGCCAGAATGTGTAAAATATCTGAGTAAATTCAAATAGTAAAATTATTCAATTTATTAATTAAACTTAACCATAACAGTAAGCTCAATAGCATAAATATGTTTTTGCAGTAACTTTTTTTTCGGGTTTGGTCCAACGGCATTTCTTCTATTTTTATTGTTTTATTTCTTCTTCTGGACGCGCCTATCCCTTATGAATGTCGGCGATCATCGATTATTATGGTTATGTCCACTTAATTCGCAGCAATATGGAAGAGTTGTGGCGAGCTTTTATCAAACAATGTTCTGAGATTTTTCCGTCACGATATTCTTCTTCTTCCTGGTCCTCTTTTTCCAAATATCTTCCCTTGCAGGATCGATTGTAACAAAACCTTATCTTTTTGAAAGGGTTGTAAGGCATGGGAGTGTGGGTAAGATCTCGACAATTTTTACATGAGGCCATTTTTTGAGAAAGTGTTAATATAATTAAGCCTACATTTTCAGTTAGATAACCTCAACTATAGGTTACTTGAATGATGTATTAGAGAACCAATTCTGTAAAGCATTTTCTTCACCAATAATCTTGTATGTTGCTTTGCTTGATTCCAATACCTCTCCATCAGAAAGGAGACATTGGAGCAAAATAGGGGAGATTTTGATCATTTTTGTGTCGAAGCTTTGGTCGAAGTCTACGTTATGTTTAACCAACCATTCCTGCATTTTGTCTTTCTTTGAAGAGAATGAAGGTGGTTTATCCTTCGCACCAATCTAAAAACCCAGAACTACTCCCCGCATGCAAAATAGTAAAACGTTTATATCAAATTCGTGTATCCATCGACGAACTTGAGATCCGTTTTGGTAGATCCAAGTTTCATCTAAATACACGAATCTGATATTTTCTTTTGAATGTTTATATTGGAGGTATTTCCGCAAAAATGTAATTTTGGCAGCAAGAACATGTTTCTGCTCACATAAAATTTTGCGTCCATTTACTAATTTAAATTTATATCCCATATGTTTTAAAGTTTTATATAAACTTGTTTGCCCTCCCTTAAATTCCAAATTTTCTTTTAATGTAATGTAAAATATTCATTTTTAGAATTGTACTTCCAAAATTCCAAATTTGTCGTTGTAAATCTTCTTTAAACATTCGGTCCATAATAGTCTCTGTCTTTTTCGGTCGGCCTAAAGGTTTTTTGATTGTATATTGTCCAGTCAAAATTATTTGAATAGTCCTGTTCCCACCTAAAATTTAAGGAAAATGTTGGTTGAGTGAGGAATGGCTTCACATCTACATTTAAGTTATACCTACCTCAAATATATCTGCAAGTTGGGCTTTCCTGGAGAGCCTCTGGTTTTTTTTTTTAAATAACCATGAAATTTTAATATTTGCCTTTTTTTTTCTTCTGAGATTATTTTTGGCATCTTCAATACGAAAGAAATTTGACAATGCTGAATTTTAAAAAATATCATTAGATTGCAGGTACGCAAAATAGTTAGGTACCGTTTATAATATAGCATTATTGAAAAATGTGTCAAATTTGATTTGCCAGATAGGACAGAAAATTTTACAGTGTGAATAATGTTACGGAACTTCCGGTCGAATATTTTTTTTTTTATTAACCCGGAATTTCCGAATTATTTTATTATTATTCGTCCGGAAAATAATACACCATGTACCCCTGCAATGACACAATCATTCTATGGTACCGTAGCGAGGAGGGTCAAATCAACTTTTTGACGTATTTTTTGCATCTCTATCCGATAGAATTTTTTTTTTTGGAATTCGATATTTGAATTTTTTCGACAAAAAAAATTCAAAGGGATTTTTTTTTTGAATTTTCAAACCGTCCTAACTCGAAAACGAAAAGCTTGGGAGAAAAACTTTAAATGCAAAACTTATAGATCTCGCCGAGTACTACAAAAAAGCCTATGAGAAGTATCCCTCCAGGTGGAATTGTTTTCGAGAAAATTGACCTCGAAAATTTTAACAAAATTACAAGAAATTTCAACTTTGACGGCCAATATCTCAAAGACAAAAATGATCTGGAAGCTCAATAAAAAATATTTTGTAGATAATTTCATCCTCTTTCAAGTGAGATATGACTCGAAACGATCGGTTAAGAAATAGCGGAGTTATAGGCGAAAAAGTGGTCTCGTGTCGGATACCCACAATCTTTTTCTGATCAAAATCGAAATTTCCTTTTTTATTTTTTTTTCGGCCTTAAGATGTACCGTAGCGAGGAGGGTCAAATTTACTTTTTGAAGTATTTTTTGCTCCTCTATCCAATAGAATTTTTTATTTTTTTGAAATTCGATATTTGAATTTTTTCGACAATGCAAGGACTAGTACGCATTACGTGGACGGGTTAGTTTGCATATTTTTGGTTAGTTTCGTTGCAGTTCATTTAATACTGGTTATAAGTGTACTGGACTACTAGTTAATAACAAAGCGCGCAAAGCGCGCTGTTTTTTCTAAATTCAATACATGCAAGGACGGGTTAGTTTGGGCTAGTTTTCATATTTTTGGTTAGTTTCATTACAGTTCATTTGATACTGGATATAAGTGTACTGGACTACTGGTTAATAACAAAGCGCGCTCTTGTTTTTCTAAATTCGATACATGCAAGGACTAGTACGCATTATGTGAACGGGTTAGTTTGGGCTAGTTTGCATATTTTTGGTTAGTTTCGCTGCAGTTCATTTAAAACTGGTTATAAGTGTACTGGACTACTAGTTAATAATAAAGCGCGCTAATCGCGCTGTTTTTCTTTCTAAATTCAATACATGCAAGGACTAATACGCATAACGTGGACTGGTTAGTTTGGGCTAGTTTGCATATTTTTGGTTAGTTTCATTACAGTTCATTTAATACTGGATATAAGTGTACTGGACTACTGGTAAACTGGTACACAAGTAAAAAAACAATCCGCACGAATAATAATATAATAATAATCCGGAAATTCCGGGCTAATAAAAAAAAAAATCAACGGGAAGATCCGGGTGATTAGGGACACCCAAAATTTTAATACCGCGGCACTTACAAAATTATGTAAACCACACTTAAAACCGTCTGGAATTTGACATATACTGTCAATATTATACGAGGGTCAACCTGCCAAATTTCCATGGATAATGCTACGCCAATAATAAGTGAAAAGCATATACATTTAACAATAATATATTTACTGCTGGCCACACCTAATTACATGGAAATCTTATTGTGTAACAGTTTTCTTTACAAACCAAGTACGCCTGTCAGCTGCTCAGTGGTGACTGAGGTCGTGGTTCTTATCCTCAAAAATAACTCAAATAAAAAGAATGTGGATTTTTAATTTGCCTACGGGCGCCAACACAAGTTTTTATTCCAGTTCATTAAATAAAGATTAAGAGTGAATTCAAATATCCATGGAATGAAACAGTGATGATTTCAAAAAAAAATAAAAAATCCTTCAACGTTAAAAATAAAAATTGAATAATATAACAATTAATAAATCTATCCTATTTACTAGTATAATAATAATAATATTAATATCTTTGTTAATCACAGCTGGTTCTATTTGGTTATAAGTCATAACAAAAAAAAATATATGAAATTGAAAAGTAATAATGAAATATGGTAGTAATATTAGGAATTTAGCATCCAAACACAGACCCTTGTATAAACATAAAAAATAATGAACTTCCTGTACAACTATCTGTGGACCTGACAGAGCTGGGCAAAATACTTTCAAAAAGTATTTAAATACTAAATACTAAATACCTAATATAGACTGAAAGTATTTGAATACTAAATACTATTTGACTTGAAAAGAAATAAATACTAAATACAAAAAGTATTTAAATACTTATTCAAGTATTTAAATACTTTTTAGGAATTTAAGTACTTTAAAAAGTATTTAAATACTTTAAAAAGTATTTAAATAGTTAAAAAGATTTTTTTCAGGTAATGACCAACGTGAATACAGGAACACAACGGTCCCTGTTTGGGAATCGACCCACTGAGCAGTGGACCCAGACTTCCCGTGCCAATCCTTGACGCGTTTCGTCCTTGTTAGGACTCATCAGAAGGACATAGGCTGAAGCTCCCTGTCCGTCCAAGCAAAATTGAACTTCGTTGACCAGTCAGAAACAACTACTCCGAGGGCAAATACCCCTACCGGCGTTGAACTACACTGATTGGTCTGAGCTTTCGTTGGCAATGAAAATTGTTAAAAAGATTTTTTTTTCAGGTAATGACCAACGTGAATACAGGAACACAACGGTCCCTGTTTGGGAATCGACCCACTGAGCAGTGGACCCAGACTTCCCGTGCCAATCCTTGACGCGTTTCGTCCTTGTTAGGACTCATCAG